ACAGCTTCAGCTAGAGATGCACATCAAGAGTAGAAAGCTTGTCTAGCATGTTTTTATATAGTCTTAAGATTCACTTGTCAGCTGACTGTAGTAGCATGCCTTCAGACAGAGCTCTGTGAGTTTAAGGCCAGCCTGGTCTACATAGCAAGGTTCTAGGCAAGCCAACGCTACATGGTGCATAGTGAGAACCTGCCACAAAAACAAAAGCAAGCAAACAAACAAAAACCTCACTTCTCAAAACAAGGGAATAGAAAAGTAATTATTGGTTATACTTTATATACAGGACTGGAATCCTGTCCTTCTATCTGAATGCACCTACATAGTCTACTTTCCAATTTAAGCTATAAATCAAGGTACAGTATACTAAACTCAATTAAGTTTTGAAGTAATCTAGTTTATCTCACTAAAAGACAACATGAAAATTGAATTAGAGTCAATTTAGAATCCTCTTCTCAACTGGCCCTTCCATAGCAACTGTAATATGAACAAAGATTAGACCCTGCTTTTAGTCACACAGAAATGTTATTTTCTGTAAGTAGCTCATTTTAAGAGAATTAAAAGTAAGTGCTGATATTAACATCAATACACAGTGTGTACCACGTTTATAAAACTTCTACACATCCTGTATCTAAGAAATATAAACACCACCAAATGTTTTCCAAGCGTCCTTGAATGATATAATTTCAAGCTATTTTTCATTTATTTTCTGTTATGTTTTTTAAATATTACAATGACTATGTACCATCTATACATCTATTTTCTTTCATTCGCTTTCAAAGGGAAAAAATGCAAACCGGGTGTGGTACTGACTTGCTGGTAGTCCCAGCACGCAACAGCCCAACATGGGGGGTGGGAGTGGTAGAAGATAACATGACATTTAGCCCAGTCTGGGATACAAGACCATATATCTCAAATAAGCAAGATGTGAAATCCTGAGAACACAGTCTAATAAATAAAGAATCTTGAAAAGTTATGTTTTAATTTTCCAAAGTTGAAACAATGTCAGATAAGTTAAAAATCTGATCTTTAAAATTATATAACTTTTTACATACTAATGCCAGTAGTTCAAAAAAGCATATTAGCTTTTTTACAAAAGTGACCAGATCAACTAACAGACTGATACATGTATCAATATTAAATCTCCCAAATCATAACTCCTCAGGTGTTATGTAAGAGAATGCCTTTGCTCTAGGTCTTCAGGGGCAAAGAGGGTGGCATACACAACTGACTTCCAGACAGATCAGCAACAAATACAATAATGGTAACAGAACAAGTGATAAATTCTTTCTCCACTCCAGGATGCTGGGCGCTCTGCCACTGAGCTGCAATCAGACATGTGAGAGCCAATTCTAAATATTCAGAATGTTGATGCTGAGTGCAGGTAAATTCCACGTGAGTTGTTTGCACAATTTTGCATTTTTGTAGGCTTGAAATCATTTCTAAAACAATTTGAACCAAAGAAAAAGGTAAAAGGTAATGAGAGTGGGGTGGGGGGTGGAATAACATTCAAAATTAAGGGAAAGAAAAAAGTTCACCGTCATTCCCCTTACCCCTCCCTCCAAACACACAAACGAAAGTAGGGCTCATGCCAACAACTTGAAGCAAGACTATTGGGGGAAACATGGCAATATATTCAAAAATTGTGCTAACAATGCATGTAGGACCGGCAGTGAGCAAATGTATACAAGGGAAGTATAAAAGGCTTACACAGGCAGTGTTTATTCAATTGTCTAGCAGCCACATCAGAGCACAAAGAAACTGAAAAAATAATGTAAAGGTATGTTAGCCGATCACTAATATAAAAATTGAGATACTTTAATTTTTTTCATACTGTCTTCACATCCTGGTGTGTATTACACTTCATAGCACATCTCAATTCAGAAGCTACATTTTCACAGAAAAATACCTGATTGCCATTTTATCTCAAAAAATAGGCTTTTAAAAGCAGATTCTGGGCTGGTTGGTGGCGGCACATGCCTATAATTCCCGCACTAAGGAGGCAGAGGCAGGTGGATCTCTGAGTTCGAGGCCAGCCTAGTCTACAGAGACACCCAGGGCTACACAGAGAAACTCTGCCTGGAAAACAAAACAGATTCAGAAAATTCAGTTACTTCAAAATTTGTTTCCCCAGCAGTGTGATGCCTCCGTGGACAAAGGCACTGTTGCCATGCCTGACCAATTGAGTCTGCTCTACAGGGCCACACAGTGGAAGGAGAGAAGTGACTCCCATACTTTATCCGTTGTCCTATGACCACCACAATGGCCTCAATATACAAAATAAATAAAGGAATGTATCTGTAAAGTATTTTAAAGAGGGAGCTGGAGAGACTCAGTGTTTGAAAGCACTTCCCACTCTTCCAAAGTGGGACCTGAGTCTGGAGCCCATAACCTGTATCAAGTGGCTCACAATCCCTTTTAGCTCCAGCTCCAGAGAATCCAAAACCTCTTTTGGCCTCCAAGGGCACACATGTGCCATACTCTTAACACAGATACACACATGCATAAATAATAAAATACATCTTGTAAAATATTTTAAAGTCTTTTCCCCTAACTTTCAAATATAAAGGTCAATGAAGAATTCCTTCCTCAACCATTTAAGTCCCATTATGTTGACTGTTTAGTTTAGATGGGAGTGAAATAAATTCTTCTACAGAAGAGGACCAGACTGATAAACTTAGTTTAGTTTCTCTGTTGCCAGCAGTGTCTTTAAAATACACTTGTAATTGAAGCAATGCCTTGATACAACTCCACCTTTCACAAGTATCTCAGAAAGCAGTTTCCACCTCAGTTGTCATTCTTGAGTTTCCTGGACACTGCCCATCAAAGGATCACTTTCAGATGTAGCAGAGGAAAGTCAAGATCTGGCTTTCAGAAGCTTAAACATCCATAGTAAAGGGAGCAGTTTGGGCACACATTTGGAACTTGCACACAAGAGAACGTGCCCTGGGATTTATGAAAGGAAGTGCCCAGAGCAGAGAGGTATTAAAAAAAAAAAAAAAACCACAGGTGCAAAAGATTAATTTAGTCAACACCAAGCAACACTAAAGATCCGCCAATCAATAATTCTGTGCCAAGCAACTTGATCAGGGATTTGGCCAGAATCCCCTTGGCTAATCTCAATAAGGGCTTTCTCAAAGACATCATCATTTAAACCATTCTCATCTGAATTAAGGCTTTAGCAATCCTTTGCTTGACAGGAAAAAAAAAAAGAGTACACACGTTAATAAAATTCTGCTAGTCAGCAAAAAGACCACTTGAAACAATGACGGTGTGAACAAAAATATTGTTCCAAAGAAGTGAAATCCACAAAACTTCATTTCAAAAACATTCTGCAGAAATGTTTTTTATTTTGTTTAGCCAAACTTTTCAACTGAACAGTGTGGCAAACAGTCAAAATTAATCTATAACAACTAATTCTGATATTGGTATTTCTTCCCCTGGAGACACTAAATATTACATGGATTCTTTAAAACTGATGAATCCTTTGTTGTGAATTCACTAGTACCTAAAGTTTCTCACACCAATGAGAAGTGAGGTGGAGTGTGAACAATGGTTTTTGACACTGACCCATAAGACCCACCTAATAAATAAAACTCATTTCCCCACCCCCACCCCTTCTCTTCTTATCCTGCTCAATGTAGCTGTTTCCCATTGACATCTTATGAGGGATCACAGATACAGCCCTACCAACTGTGTGGAAGCTAAAGAATCTAAAAGTTCGTGTTTATAAACATTAACTGTTTCTGCTTACGACTTATCTTTTTTCCCACCTCAGTCAAAAAGTTTCAAGCAAGATGAATACAAAGATTGTTTTGAGCAGTCCCATCCGGAGGATTTCTTTCTCATTAGATCTTTTTACCAGAAGAAATATTTACACATTCTGTAGAAATGAATTCATTCTGAGCCGGGTTTTTAATCAGAACGTTCTCAGGTCATGTCAATTTAAGCAAATACAATCTATGACACTAGCTCAACATACAGAAAGCCACGGTGGGTTTTGTTGTTGTTGTTTTTGTTTAATACAACAAGCAGGCACAAGAAGAAATAAACTACACCAGAAACACACATTCCAGTCGTACAGTTCAAGCGTTATTTAGAGAAAGTAAGTAAAAATAAAGTCCCACGTCTCCCTAGGCGACAGAGGGTTCTTGCGGGGAGGCTAGGTGCAGAGCAAGCCACAGAACGAGTTCCACACCTGACATTCTGCCTCTTCCAGCGGCCTGAACTCCCGCCAACCACCTAGGACCCTAAACCACTTCACCAGGTTAACGAGGGTGACCTCTGGTGCAGAGCAATCACTCTGATCCTGATCCAAGTAAAGTAGCCCCTAAAAGGTTTCCAAATGTACTGGTGGATAGCTTCCCTAAAGGCTCAACGTCTCCCGGGAGCAGGAAAGCCGGGCTCCCTAGTTTGCCAGACTTGTGCAAACGGCTGGGAGGCAGGGGAGGGCGCAGAGCGCCCCACTGCCCTGGCGGCGCCTCCTCTCCCGGCTCCCTCGGCATCTCGGCCACTCGCCAGGGCTGGAGCCGCATCCCCGCTGCCAAGTCCACCTGGTCAACGACGGCTGCGCGCCGACCGTCAGGTACGAGCCCGAAGCCCAGGCCACCCGACCGCTGCGGGGCACCAGGGACCCTATGCGGGCCGCCCCATTTAGAGCGCCGCGGGGCGCACGGCCGAGGCGCGCACGGCCCCGGGGGAGGGAGGGCGCGCGGTGCGGTGTCCCCGAGGATGCGGCGGCGGCGGCGGCGCCGGCGGGTAGGGGGCTGGGGCGGCCCCGCAGCCCCGACGCCTTTCATTTGGCCTCTGCGGCGACGGAGGCAGCCCGACCTCGGCGCTAAGCTCTGCGCAAAGCTGAGACGCGGGGGCGAGGTGGGGGGGAGGCAACCTGCCGCTGCGCCGAACCTCGCGCCGCGCCCCCGGCCACAGTCCCACACCCGCCCACAGGCCGCGCTCCCGGGCGACCGGAGGAGACGCGGCTCCGGGGCTCGCCCGGTCCTCACCTCGATGTAGCCAGCCAGAGCCGCAGCGGGCGCCGTGAGCCCGAGCAACAGCAAGACAAGAAGCTTCCCGGTGGCCGCAGCGGCCGCGGTCCTGGTGGCCGCCATCCCTCTCCGGGTCGCTGTGGCGTTGGGCTCTTCCACTCTCAAGCACAGCCAGACCAGAGCGCTGCCCCACCGCGACCCAGAAGCGTCTGAAGCCCGTTCGCCGCCGCCCCGGGGGTTTTACACCGACCGGAACTGACTTCACAAAACCACGCCCTTCTTCGACAGGATCCAATACGAACCGGCATAAGTGGCCTAAGATGCCGCCCCTTGTTTAGCCCAGGTCCAATCAGAGCATGGATGCACCGACTCCTCTCCCCGCCCAGCGCGTGCCCCCTCATGGCCCCGCCCCAAGCCACGGCCAGCCCCGCCCCCGCTCTGAACCCGAGGCTGGGGGCGCAGGAGTATTCGCGGACCGACCGTGGGCCGCTGTTCCGAGGGTGGGAGGCTCCTGTTTGGTTATCGATGGGGTGGCTCTACATCATCCACCTTCAGCCTCGGGACTCGAGTACGCCCTACTCCCCCAACCCTGCGGGATATTTTTCATATTCCTTTGGGTACCGCCCTCTTTGGGGCTTCTGGAAAATGTTTTAATTAAAAACAGGATGAATTGTTGGGAGTTCCGGACGGTTTGCAAAAGACCGTCGTCCGGGAAGATGTACGCCGGCATTCTGCTCTCCCCAGCGCTGCACGGGGCGCGCTCTTCCCACCCCCCCCACCCCCGCCCATACCGCTGCGTCCTTGTTTCGCCCCTGAACCCCGCAGTGTCTGCACACCGTTGACCTCTGCTCCTTAGGTCCTTTCCCAGCCCCTCCTCCTCGTCGCAACCCCTGCGGCACAGAGAGGCCTTCCGCCGAGGCCGGTGGCGCCAGGCCACTGGAACCCAAGCCCCCCCCCCCCCCCCATGTGTTTCAGGACAGGATTCTGGCATCATTTTTCTTCAATTTAAGATCTCTAAGCAAAAGACACGCTTTCTCTCTCTTTTCATGCTCCCCAGCATCTTGGTTCCTGGGAAAGCAGCCTGCTGCCCCAGTTCACAACTGGCACCTTGTCCTCTCCATCACGAGGGCTCTGCTGGCTTTGTTTCCTTTCCATAGCGGGTGATTTATGTACCACCCTCTGCAGAGACCTGGACTCATTTCTTTAGCTTCAACCAAATCGAGAACCAAATTCCTCTCCGCAGGAAACATCTTAGTGGAGAGGGAAAGACAGTGTCTATAGTGGGCAGAGTGGGACAGTAAGAACCCTGTATTTTACAGATGCATTCTGCAACTACACGCCAAAGTGAGCAGTCCCGCTGTGGTCAAACTGGCTCTGCCTCATTCTCCATGGATAGCAGGCACCTTTCCATTGCACAGCCCTTCCTGCTGCCCCTGCTCTATTCCCACAATTCTCCATTATCCACCTACAGGAAACACCTTGTGCAGATGTCATTTCACCCGCCTCAGTCAGAACGCTGAGAGGGCTGTATCCTACCGTGACACTTTCCCCTGGCTAGGTCTCTATGTCTCTCACATCACTGACAAGACATGTATAGTGCCCAGTGCGTCTCCAAATGGGGACCTCATCCGATAAATGTTACTACTCAATTCAGAGGCCCTAGAACTGGCATGAGTTTAGTGCTGAATTTATCTTCGCTCTCATTTATACATTGAACAAATGTGGTACTTGTCAGCGGGGCCTTTGAAAGGTAACTAGGTTTAGTTGAGGTCATGGAGGGGGGCGGGCATTTCATGGCAGGATTAGTGGCCCTTAGAACAGATGAGGGCAACGAAGATCTTGCCCTCCCTTTCTGGATCCTCCCTTCTCTTCTCTGTCTCCCTGCCCTTATGAAGAAATAGTAAAGGCATCTAATGTGTGGGAGGGGAAAAACAAATATAGGAAATGACATAAGGGGTCTTCAGCCTAAAATACCTGTAGGTTCGTTCTTAACCCCCTTCCCATGATCCAACTCTGTAAAATCTCTGGTCAGTGATTCCTAGGATGCTTCATAAGTGTTCAGTTTCTACACTTTATCATACACTAAGAATTTAAACGAAAATCACATTCTCTGCTCAGCTGTTAATGCCAGGATCCATATTTCCTTTCATATGCTTTTCCCTGTTTTTAGTTTTGTTTGATTGTTTTGGTTTTTTTGGGACTCATGAATTTTATTTTTGTTTGTTGATAAAGGTAAAAATGGAAAGAATTTAAAAATTAAAAAGGGGGTGGGGGTTAAAAAAGAAGAAGAAACAGTGCTTCAAAGTACTGTAGCGGTTTCTCAATTCTTGGATGTGGTGGATGGGAATATCCCAGCAACAACAAAACCTAACTACATTGTTGTTTTTTTTTTCTATGCAGTTCAGGCTGGTGTCAGACTTGTGACTCTCCTGCTCTGCTTCCCAAATTCTGAAATTTTGCAGGCCCCTTGCTACAAACCTCAAAAAAATTTTTTTTAATTGGAAACTTATATTTGCTGATTTTTTTTTGGTTCTCTAGGTTGAATATTAAACCTACTAAATTATCAAACATATTAAATGATCAAACATAACTTGAGCATGGAGGGGCCATCACTTTGTATTTGCAGAAGGGTGAGTCAGGCATCCTTTGACTCTGGAATTGAAGGACAACTTCAGCAACAGATTGATACTGTTTATTTCAAATAAAATATAGCTATATTATCATCATATTTTTGTTATAGAGCAACTAACAACAAAAAAATAAGAATGATAGTGTGTTTAACATTTTACAGTTAGATAAAATGTATTTTCTGATAATTCTTACATGCCCTGTTGTCTCAGCACAGGTCATACTTGTGGATATATTCCGATGGAATATTCCTGTTTAACAGCCTGTGGAACCATTGGAGGATGGGGATTAAATGGGAATGGGTTACACTCCTTGGCCAATGCTGGTGGCCATCACGCACCTGCTTCTTTCTATACTTTGCCTTCTTCCTGATTATCTTTGATTGCCTCAGTATTTAAGATTTGATTGGTATATTGTTTCCTTTTGGGTAATTTGATAATTGCCTTTTTCCTTGCTGAATTTAGAGCCCCTTCATGTCCACACAGAGGGCTGATGCATACCTCTGCTACACTCTTTGTAGACAGAATATAACCATTTATTCATATCCCAAGCCTTTGAAGGACGATATCTCTACAGTCTAGCATAGGGATTATTACTAATCAGTACCCCAAGACTATTTGCTAGACCAGAGGGATAGCTCAGTGGGGGGATTGGATGGAGACAGGTACAAAGGGAAAATCTCTTGTCTTGGCTAGTGGCTGCCTGAGAAATCATGTATACAATGGAAATAAAAATGAGGGATGACAAGAACTTCAAATATTCAAACATAGTAGCTAGGACAATGTGCTGCTGCTGCTGCCACCACCGCCATTGACAGAAATAGAGAAAGTGTGATTATGGGATGGGAGAAGGTGAAGTGAAATCCCAGGGAAGGTACCTATACAAGATGCCTAAGCTACTTGGAGAACAATGATCAAAGGGAAGTTGGAATCAGGGTTAGCATTGGGGGTGTTACCCACACAGCATTTATCATTTAAGTCAGTAAGGTAGGTAATAGGCACAGCAACAAGAAGACCAGAAAGAAACCAGAAAGATGTCATTTTTCTATCCAATCGATATCAAGCAGGGTAGCAGAGAATTGACAACTAGACAAAGTCAAGTAGTGTGAAGACTAGGCAAGGATCACTGGCCTTGGAGGCGTGATCATTAGCTGTTTCTTTGTAGGGATAAAAGGTACTTGTAGAAAATGAAGGTATAAGTGGCTGTTCAGTGAGGAGAGTCAACAAGTACAGTCATCTCTTAGAAATGCCCCCTGAAGCTCCCTGCCTGGTTTTTGATTTGTCAAAAGATACTTGGATAAATCCCTCAGTGGGCACAGGAAAATATATCAATGGCTTGACTTTCTCTTCTCTTGCATTTTAATATGGCTTTGCAATGTTCTGCAAAATCACACTTCTAATAATAAACAGAGAAACCACTATAAAGATGACTCATAGCTTTGCGCTCTGACAGGATCACAGCCAATGAGGTTTCTCCCAGGAGTGATTACTGCTAATTAAAAGTGTGACTCAAGAGGCGTTGGAAAGTTATCTAGCTAGCCTATCTTTCTCTCAGGCTTTAGAAGGCCTCTGCCACTGAGGCTGAGCAGGTGGGCTCACTCCTCCAGGAAACAATGGAAGCTACTTGAAGCAGAACAGGTTTGACCTCACTCAGTCACAGCTTTACCACATGAATGGATAATTATGATGTGAAGATTTTAATTTACAAAGCCTTTCTTCTAATTCCTGCTGGTCTAAACTAAAACAAGAATTTGTCAAACAAAACTAATACCAAATACTTTTTTTTTAAATCAGGGCAGAGCCTTAAATCTGAGGTCCAAGAGTCAACAAGTGAACAGTTTGTTTTCAAAGATAACATGGCCAGAACAGGTTAGAATCGGAGCATAATCTAGGTATGCCTGACATCAAATGCTTGAAAATAATACTTAAAACATACTGTGAACCTACTGCTTTGTTCCACTACTAAGCTGGCTTGCAGGTTTAAAGCAAACTGGTTTGGTTTGGTTTGGTTTGGTTTGGTTTGGTTTGGTTTGGTTTG